TAATGCCAAGATTGCTCTTAACTTTACTTGCTTATATGTATAAGGCAAGTTTGAAGATAGAATGACAAAACCATGTTTTCCTTTAGTGTTTCATATAAAGTAAAAAGAGGACTTTTACTTTCTATTTAGTTATTAAAAAAAAAGAATCCAAAGTCATAGACAAAATGAAGTTTGGAAAAGGCACAGATGTGAAATATGAATGACAGCAGTCAGAATACTCCAAACCACTTCTCCCCCAGTGATCCTTGGACAACGAGCCCTTTGACGTAGGCAGAATTCCAGGATGAGGCTGCAGGAAACAGGGAAAGGAAATTCCGGTTGGGGTTGAGTGATAGGGACCCTACCTTGGCAGCAGACCATGCCAAAATTCAGTTTCAGAACAAGTAAAATCCCCTTCCCACCCATACTTCATGAGTGAATTAGAAAAGGGGAAGGAAGTAGGGTGGGTCCCCAGACTTAACAAAGGAACTGAAGAAAATGGGGTGGAGAATGGGAGGGATACAGACAGGGTCCCAAGGGAAAGTATTGCTGAGCAGGCTTTCACATATATTTGATAGATTCATTTCGCAAATATAGCATTTTGACTTCTTTTTTATGAAGACGAACAAAGTCAAATAGCCAGTGGTTCCTCATCATTTCTAGAATGAAGTAAATTCTCAGCCCTCAAATACTCCTACAATTTGGTCCCAATCTGAAACTATCTTTTAAAGATGTCTCACTAAATCTTCCTTCTCTTTCCTCCTTGTCACCGTCTCCTTCTCAACCCCTATTCTTGGTACTCTGATGACATGGAATGGTTGTGGTTTTCTGAAAATGTTTTGCATTTCTACATTTATTTTCTAATGCTATTCTTCCCTCTAAGAATGCTTTTCTTTAATATGAATTGTTTAAACCCAACCAAAACCTACTTTAAGGTCTATGTCAAACTACCTCTGCTATAGAAGAGAATCCTGTTTCCCCCAAGTGTAAGTTCTTCTAACCCCCATGCATCTCTCTTAGTAATATCATCACAATCTCCTTGTATCTCAGTTATTTGCGTCAATGTTTGTTTGTTTGTTCCCCCCCCACCCCCCACAATGAGACTATATTCCTTCCAGGTAGGAGCCTCCAATGTTATTCTGAATGTCCTACATCAGTTCTACCAAAGGCATACTGAATGAATAAATGACCAAAAGTATTCAAGTGACACCAGCTCAGATGATCTGGGTGAGGAGGGTATCCCTAAAATCACAGCTAATTGTAAAGAAGGTGCACACATCATTGTAGGTAATGCCAACACTTTAGCCAAATAAGCCACTTATTTTGGCGGTACATCTACGACCTCATTTCCCATAATTATAGCCCTGATTCAGGCTTACCTCCTTCATCTGACTTACTATGGAAGCTTTCTAAGGGTTCTCTCTGACACTTTTCTCCTCCCACTCAATTTTCCCTCCAAGTCAATGCTGGAGAGATCTTACAAAAACCATGTTTGACTATGCCACTTCCCTTCTTTTGTGGCTCCTCAGGGGGACTTATGGCCTTTCACAACTGAATTCTAGCCTCCCCTACCGCCTAACCTCTTTATTCCCCACGAGTCACCAGGTGTTCAAGTCATGCATCTTCCTGCTGGTCCTGTGCCTTAAACACTCTTCCCTGCCATGACCTTATATGACAAAAGTCATGCTTCAAGGTCAAGCACAAAAATTCCCATTTAGTAACAGACACACAATTCTTCTATTGTTATCATCACAAAATGAAGTCTATGCAATATGATGCCCACGTAAGAGATCATTTCTTTAAAGATTCGGTGACCAAATGTTAATCCCACTACCATAATACTTAGAAGAAAGCCAATTCTGTCCCTCTCTTGAAGTTCTCATACTGGCTAATTTTACCTACACCTAGGTAGTAAAAATAGGAAAACCAAATGCTTCCTGAGAAATCTGTGATAATTATACATTTAACTTTTTTTTCTCAGAAACACCTTGGCAAAAGCACAGTGAAGTGTTTCTGTAATTGCACACATTTATAATCATGGCATTTACTAGTTTAAGGAAATATTAAAAATGCCTACTCAGAAAGCTCTAAGGCCCTTCAATTTGTAACAAGATATACCAGCTTTATTCTATCAAATTCATATCTTTCCTATGCAGTAGTACTTCAAAGTAGCTTTCTCATCTTGGCACATATTTATAAAAAGGGATGAGGCATCCTAGAACTGGAGGAGCAATGTAGTTTGGTATAAAAGAATGACTCAATAGGCAACTTGGATTCTACGTGAAATCTTATCATTCTCTACTTAGCTATCTTGGGTCCAGCAATGATAGATGAGGTAGATGAAGTATTTAAAAATCATAAAAGAAAGGAAATCTGTATGTAACCCCAGGGTTTAGTCATTATTGTTATTGTTTTAACAAGAAGAGGAAACTGCAGACTTAGGTTTACATTAAGTAAACTGCAGTTTCCTCTGTACATGCTGTTATTAAAGTGAGTTTTCAAGAGCAAAAGCAGATGACTGATCTTGAAAAGAAAGCAGAGCAGAAAACACAAAAAGGCTACATACATCCAGTTCATGAACACAGTGAGCTTAATGTACAAGCAAAGGTAGAGATGATTCAAACACTTAAAATATAAGAGAGTAAAATAATCTACTGAATGGTTTCTATTCCTAATAAATTATTGTAAAAAGTATAAATGCGTAGTTTCAAAAAACCTATTTATTTAGTGGAGTACTATATAAATATCAGCTTTTAGTCATCCTGCAGGAATGAGATCACAGAGTGACAAAGTTTTTATTTATCATAAGGATGAATGACTCTTAACATTCACCCTTTCTTACTTTAAATTTCAATAGGAAAAGTCTAGATAGGAAAGGCCATCTTTCTGCTTACTTATTTATATCTTTCCTCTCAGAAGTACAAGCTCTTCAGAGCTATGGATGTTAATGCATCCATATTATGACATTCATGCAAGTAGTAAGAAACATTAGTGTTCTAATTTACAATCCTAAAGGTTTACTGGTAACAGAGTAAATAATCGTAATCAAAACTACAAATCATCTGGCACTAAATTTCCGTCTTATGTTGTCTTTACAATCATCAGCATCGAGTTCAGGTTTGTATTATTACATATTTGGAGGGTAATTATATTTTTCTTAGTTGTGACTATAATATTCTAGATACAATTAAATATAAGACAAAGACGAGGCAGATACCTCTGTAATAACTGGGAAGCTGTTTGTGGCATAAGGCTGATTTCCAGCCTTGGTAAAATGGTACTCGTGTGATTTTGAAAGATCATGACCTACCCTAAGGTTATCCCTGGTCCAATGGATCAGTGTGCAATCCACTGTAAAATATGTCATTCGTTTTAAGGACTAACAAGAAAAAATGCTCACAAACCATGATTTGCTTTCATACCCTCAATTTTTAAAATTCATGCTAGTTTCAGATGGAAAAATGTGGGATAAACATGCACTTTGAAATTAATAATATGAAACACAAAAACTACTCTTCTAAATAAAATACAACAAAAGGAGTATTGTTTTATGAAATTTCATGCACACACAAGAATATTTAAATATTATAAGAACATACAGAGGTTAGAAGTCAGTCTGTGAACCAAGTAACATTCAGGGAGCTTTTTATAACTTGAACAAGTGCCAAACTTTACAGTAGTGCCTAGTAAAGAGAAGGAGCCTGAAATCTCTACCCAAACTTAAAGTCAACAACCACCCCAAGATAGTTCAATTAGAAGGATCTGAAATGCTTAATTATTCTCCCCTTTGAGACCAATTGCAATGTCTAGATGTGATATGTTATAAACTACACGGCCTGCCATCTCTGAACATCTCACATCCTCTCCTGCTTGGCTAAAGGCTGGTATTTGTACTGATGACCTTAGAGAAGAAAGAGCATGAAGCAATTTTTCCCTCTTGGAAAGGGTTGAAAATAAAATTCCAAAGAAAAATTAAAGTCAGAGAAAAACATGCTTATAAGCACTGAGGAATTTTCCCTTTCATGAGCAATACTGATAGTTCAGCACCAAAAAGTGAAGTCTTCAAAACAACAACAAAGTCAACAGACAACAATGTATGGCAGAAGAAAGTGGTCCCATTGTCACCCGGCATGACGGCAGTGTTCTCAGTTCTGAGGCTCAATCTGAATAACTACTTTCAGGAGGACCAAGCAGAGCGTCCTTTTCCTCCAGTTTAACGACACACAATATAACTCTTGTTGGAAAACAAACATTCATAAGACACTGGGAGAACTCCCTTTGGCTCTCTCACTTGATGAGAGCATTGTCTATCCATTCTTCTGTTCTTATCACTTTTAGTGATTTCATTTGGTAACAACATATACCCTTGTGTTAAACATAAAAAGGATATGGGGACCCTCCCTGGAGGCACAAGGGGTTAAGCACCGAACTGTGAAGCAATCACAGGCTCTACAGCACGAGTTCAGTCCCTGGCTGGCCAGGGAGCAACCCACATGGCAAAGCAGACCTCTCCTATCTCGCCCGCTGCGTCCCTCAGCAGTGTTTTTCGGTCAGTCTGCCTGTTCTGTTCCCCACTCTGTTCTGGTGAGTCCTCTTACCCCCTGCATCTCTGGCCTGTACCCCAGCTCTTGTATGCATAAATAAATAAATATTTTTTTAAAAAGGATATGGGAATTTTCTTTCAAAATTTGTCTTCAACAAACGATCTAATGGATAAACTCCCAAAGTAAAACCTGAAATCCATCAAGTCAGGATCATAAGTAGACATGCGTTCATATTTGCTTACATGCGTTCTTATATTTCTGCATGATTTACTTTTCAGAAGTGTTCTCTTCTTAAATCCAGTGGCATAACTACTGACTTAAGCCTATGAGCAACTATCATTTTTACAAAGAAGGATGCTTTTGGAAGGGAAAAAACCAAAAGGTAAAGAATTTAAAAGTCTTTCCTTCAAACATACAACCAGGCAGAAACATTTTTCTCCCCTTAAAACCTACACCCCCAAAAAGAAAACAGCTTACGTGTTCAGATTTCTCCTGATCTTTTTTGTCCGTCTGCAAGAACTGACAGTTTTCTCTTGCCAGCTTCTGGACCAGTTCAATTCGTCCAATATCATCTCTTTCCTGAAGCTTGCACATCACCCCTGCCTTAAGAGTTGGAGAAAAAGCGAAGATATACTTAAATCCACAGTCCCAGGACATGACACCACTGCAAAGTTCACTTTATGATAAGCTCATCTTTTCCATCGCCTGGATTAAATCATGATGTTGGTTTAAAAAAAAAAAAAAAAAGCAACTTTGCCTTTCCAAATTGAAATTATATTATTTTAGTCTAGCAATACCGTGCCAAAAGACTAAAAATTGAGATCATGCACCAGTCTACTTTACGAGAGTGAAGATAGAGCGAACTAAATCATTTGCTGCTAAAGTGTTCCTGATATGCTACTATTTGTTCCTGACAGCCTGTTTCCTGTTACATAAGCCTAGCAAGAGGTTAAAAACTCATGGGAAAGTTAGCCAGGAACCACTCTGGCAATAAGGGAGAAGTGATACAGAGTACTAAAAATAACAGTACACAACCTCCTAATTCTTTTGCTTTACCAGATCATTCCATGCACAAATACACAGCAAGAAGATCACAAGATAATTTGCTTTTTCACAAATGGAAAATTACTTTGTGGCATTATTAGGAAAAACCCCTGGTAAGTTATAAAACATAGTGAAAAGTTTATTAAATAAGTTGGGAAAAGAATGTTAACCCTCATATATCAGGATTTGGAAATGATTCAAAAGGCATCATACTTTTTACAATGCCAAAGTACCTAAGTGAATATTACAAGAAGGGGAATATCTACAACTTTGATTACATAAAAATGTTTGTTGTAACACACAAATTATGAAGTTTCTGTTTAAATTCTTTCAAAAATGGCTCATACTGACATATAAGGACATAATCTAGAAAAGAAATCTGAAGTCACTCCTGGCAGAAGCAGTCAAACTATAGAATTTTTGCTTTACCCAATGCAATCTATAAGCTTTGGACTCCATAACATGACCAAATATGGACAAGTGGTCAGTAAGTGATCCACAGCTTCATGATCTTAACAGTTTGTGCTAAAGAAAGATATCCATTTTGTTGAGTGGGTATCAGTGAAATGGAGCCATCTATGCAAAGCAATGACTAAATCTTTATTGCCAAGGCAGGACAACTACTTATCTAGCAGTTGCTCTAACAATTAGGAAGGAAAACAAAAATACCTGAAATGGCCCAAATCACAATTTCCTATTGGACAGCCAGTGGAATTCTTCCATCAAAGTCTCAGATTTATTTTTACAACTTCCCTCACAAGTGAACTTCCAGCTTGTTTCCAAAGTTTCCTTAGACAGGGATCTTAATTTATCTTAAAACAGCCTGTGTGCTGTTGGAGAGCCAGGATTATTGGAAAATTCTGAAACAGGCTAGACAAAACTCTGAAACCACTGAACTTCAACCCATGAGTACTAGTTTTGTCTTTTAAAAACTGAAACCAGTCACTATTTCTTCTCCAATATGACAATCTGTTAAATGTTTAATTACCACTAATAATATATTCTTTTTTTTTAAGATTTATTTATTTATGAATACAAGAGCTGGGGTAGAGGCCAGAGATGCGGGGAGGTGAGAGGATTCACCAGAGACAGAGTGGGGAACAGAACAGGCAGACTGACTGAAATACACTGCTGAGGGGAGCAGCAGATGAGACAGGAGAGGTGTGCTTCGCCATGTGGGTTGCTCCCTGGCTGGCCAGGGTTTGAACTCGTACTGCAGAGGGCCTGCGGATTGCTTCATGGTGTGGTGCTTAACCCCTTGCGCCACCAGGAAGGCCCTATAATATCTTCTTTTTAGTAATTCCTAAGTACATCCCCCAGTTCATTATTTCATTCATTCATTTACTTAAGAGATTTTATTTGAGCAACAACCATGTGCTCAAATCTAACATATACTCTGCAGCTACAGCAATGAACAAAATTAAGATTAAAATTAAAACCAAGTCCCAAATGCCATGGAGCTACATTCAATATGTGATGTGGGTTACATAACATACCAACTGAAATGTCACAGGGCAATACATGGTAGGAAGGAAAGGAAAGCAGGGTAAAGAGGCAGAGAAATGATTAGCAGTCTTGTTAAGATGAATATCAGGGAAGAATTATTCAGTAAAATGATATTTGAATGGAGAACTAAAAGAAGTAAGAAAAGGTGCTTCAAGCAGAGGAACAAGAGTGTAAGAGCCTTGAGGCCTGAATATGTCTGGCATATTCAAGGAAGAAAAAAAAAGTACAGCATGGTTGAAGAACAGTTGTGTGGAAGAGACTGGAGGGGTAGGTCAGAGATTTGTGATATTATATTATGTGGTTTCCTAACAGACTGTGTACAAAAATTAGATTTTTTTTTTATTGGACAAGATGAAAATCCTTTGGAAGGTTCTGAACATAGCACAGGTATAATGTGACTTAGATTTTAACAGGATCATTCTGCCTTCCGGGTTGAGAAAAACCCAGAAGGGGTGGGAGAAATAGTTGCAGCTAGAAGACCAATTAGGAGATTGGTCTTCAGACAAGAGATGGCTTACACTGTGATAGCAGTAGATATGGTGAAAAATGGTTAGAATCTGGATATATTTTAAAAATAAGGTCTAGCAGATTTTGTTTTCTATACGATATTTGCCCCGAGCATCTGGAAGGGTTGACAGTCATTTCATGAGATTGGAAAGACAGGGGGAAAGGTTTGGGAAGGAAAATGGCTACTAGCTATCCAAGTGGAGGTGCTAGGTTGGTAATCTGGAGGTTCATGGGAGAGCCTCAGGCTCAAGGTAGGAATTTGAAGTAATTCTAGTACAGTTAGTATTTAAAACTGGAGAAATAGGTGACGTCACCAGTGGCGTGATATAAACAGAGAGAAGAACTTTAGGAACTGGGTCTAATGCTTAGACTTTGGGAAGATGAGGAGCAACCACAAAACAGCCTTAGAAGGAGTGGCTTTAGGAAGAGAGCGGTGAGTAGTGGAGACAGTGCTTCAAGGAAGAGAGAGCAAAATGCTATCAAATGCTGCTGAAATATCAAATGAGATGGTTTCAACAGAGTTGGTATTGAATTTGACAAAAGTAATTGGTGAGTTTTGTTTTTTTAAAGATTTATTTATCTATACAAGCACTGGGTAGAGTCAGAAGCGCGGGAGGGTGAGAGAATTCATCAGAGCAGGGAGCAGAACAGAAAGACTGATGAAATACACTGCTGAGGGGAGCAGTGGGCATGGCAGGAGGGGTCTGTCGCACCATGTGGGACCCTCACCCTGGCCAGGGATTGAACCAGCGCTGCAGAGGCTGCGGGCAGCTTCTCAGCCCAACGCTCAACCGCTGCGCCACCAGGGGAGGCCCATCGATGAGTTTTAATATACTATTTTTTTTTTAATCTTAAATTTTATTTTTATATTCCCCCATACAATTGCAAACGCCCCATTCTGACCCCAATCCTTCCCCTCCCGCCCCCCACCCCCCAAAAAGTGTCTCTGGTTCATAGTTTTTTGTTGATTTTGATTTTCACTTTCTTATATTCATTTTCCTGGTCCCTTATTTAAGTTTTCTAGATTCCTGCTATGAGTGAGACCATCCGGTATTTTTCTTTTTCTTTTTGGCTTATTTCGCTGAGCATGATCCCTTCCAGCGCCATCCATGTTGCTGCAAATTGCATGTGTTTATCTTTTTTGAATGCTGAGTAATATTCCATGGTATATATGTACCACATCTTCTTGATCCAGTCATCTACTTTTGGGCATTTGGGTTGTTTCCAAAGCTTAGCTATTGTAAACAGTGCTGCTATAAACATAGGGGTGCAGGTGCTCTTTGGAATTGATGTTTCTGTGTCCTTTGGGTAAATACCTAGGAGTGGAATTGCTGGATCATATGGAAGCTCTATGTTTAGTAGGTCCAGAAATCTCCACACAGCTCTCATATACTATTTTTTGAGGAAAAAAAGTTGAGGAAAAAAGTTGAGAGGAAAAAGTGGTTGGGTTCAACAGAAAATGAGAGATGATTCTTCTGAGGAGTTATGTTACAATAAATGGCATATTAGCTAAAGTGTGATGTGGAAGGGAGTTTTGCTCATTTGCTTATTTAGAGTGAGGGATATTCTAGCATATTTGTGTTATTAGAAACTAACCACTAGAGAAGGCAATATAATATAGAGGGCAAGAAGGCATTTTTAGGAGTGATATCCTTCAGCAGGAAAGAAACCCTAAAGACATACTCTCAGACAGAAACATGAGTGTATGTATTTCCCTCACTCTAACAGGAGGGATGGTGAAGTTCAGGGGTAATTAAACAGGTAGGTTGGAATATTTGATGGTGAGAACACATGGTAATTTTTTTCTGAAGATCTTTATTTCCCAGAGAAACAAGAAGTCAAGTTAAGGGATCTAAAAATAAAACCACTCAGACCCAGAGTAAGGGCTCTGGGAAGATACTGGAGGTAGGTAAAAATGAAAGCAGTGCAGACATTTCAGTTGTAAACATAGGCATACTTTTAAGGTAAAGGGCCCAAATGTAAATACATTAAGTTCTCACTTAACACTGTCAGTAGGTGCTTAGAAATATAGATTTAAGGGCAATGATGATAACAAAAGCAGACCTCTAAATAACAACATTTTGTTCACTATCGACCCTGGATTTTGCTTTTGTTATCAAGGCTATAATGAAACAATGAAACAACATTATTCAAGAATCTGGTATGTTCTAGGCTTAGTGGACCTTGTGGCCTCTGGTGAACTACCCAATTCTGCAGCTTGAGAGAAAAAGCATCAAAGTCAATATACAGGGCCTCCCCGGTGGCGCAGCGGTTGAGTGCTGGGTTGCGAAGCTGCCTGCAGCCTCTGCAGCGCCGGTTCGATACCCGGCTGCTTCCCGGCCACTGGAGGAGGGTCCCGCATGGCGCGCAGACCTCTCCTGCCGCCCGCTGCTCCCCTCAGCAGTGTGCTTCGGTCCTTCTGCCTGCTCTGCTCCCCGCTCTGGCTCTGGTGAATTCTCTCGCCCTCCCGCGCTTCTGACTGTACCCAGTGCTTGTATAAATAAATAAAATAAATAAATAAATAAATAAAGATAAATCTTAAAAAA